ACTATTTGGTCTATGCGCGGCAAAGGAAATGGATCCTTTGGGCACGCCTTGTAGAGACCCATATAGTCAACACACATCCTCCATTTCCCACTCTTCTTTCATATAAGAACGGGATTAGCTAACCACTTTGGGTGGTATACTTCCTTGATGAATCCGGCCGCCGAAAGTTTTGCTATCTCCTCGTTGATGGCCCTGCATTTTTCCTCGTCAAAGCGATGCAGGTGTTGCTTCACTGGCTTGGAGCCTAGGTGGATCTTCAAGGTGTGCTCGGCGACTTCCCTCGGGATGCCTGGAATATCCGAGGGTTTCCACGTAAAGATATCTCCGTTAGCGCGGAGGAAGCCGACGAGCGCGCCTTCCTATTCAGAGGAAAGCATAGTACCAACGCGCACTGTTTTACCCTTAGTGCTCCCGGGGTCTATGAGGACTTCCTTGGAGCCCTCTGCAGACTCGAACGACCCGGTCGAATTTCTTAGTGTCGGGCACTTCTTTGGTGACCTCCTCCTTGAGGGCGGCTAGCTCCCCGGAGGCGACGATCGCTGCGACGTAACCGCATCACTCGACCTCGCACTTATAGGCGCGTTGGAAGGAGGTGCCGACGGTGATGACCCCGCGGAGGCCCGATATTTTCATTTTGAAGTATGTATAGTTGGGGACGGCTATGAACTTCGCGTAGCATGGACGTCCCAGGATGGCGTGGAAGGTTCTGGGGAAACCAACCACCTCGAAGGTGAGGGTTTCAGTCTTATAATTGAACTGATCCCCAAAGGTAATGGGCAGATCGATCTGCCCAAGTGGCATGGCCTGCTTCCCGGGCACGATGCCGGGGAAAGGTGCTCGGGTTGGGCGGAGGCGTGTCCGGTCGACGCCCATTTCATCGAGTGTCTTGGTGTACATGATGTTGAGGCCGCTGCCTCCATCCATCAGTACTTTGGTGAGCCATTTCAGGCCGACGATCGGGTCGACCACGAGCGGATATCTCCCTAGATGCGGGACACTCTCTGGGTGGTCGGTCCGATCGAAGGTTATGGCGGACTCGAACCATCGGAGGAAGGTAGGTGTGGTCGGTTCGGCCATATAGACCTCGCGGCGTAAGACCTTACGGCGTTTGGAGTCGTAGGCCGCTGATCCTCCGAAGATCATGAGGCACCCATTCGGCGTCGAAAAGGCATCATCCTTCTCCTCGGCGTCGTCCACGGTGGGGGCAGGGTCCTTTCCATGCTCCCCTTTGTTGGAGCCTCCAGACAAGAACCGCCGCATAAGGCTGCAATCCTTGAGCATATGCTTTAACCGAGAAAGCATGGTTCGGGCACGGCCCCTCGAGTAATTTTTCAAAGTGGTTCGGAGTGCCCTCCATGGGCTTTCGACCACCCTTACGGTCAGCAGCGACCACGAGCGAGTCCTCACGCCATTGCTTCTTGTTCTTCCTCTTGGCAGAACGATTGGAAGCGCCTTTGTCGGCACCTTCGTCCCGCCTCGCCTTGCCGTTGAGACGATCAAAGATCGCTCTGACCGCTTCTTCTCCTGAGGTGTGGCTGGTGGTGATGTCCAGAAGTTCCTTGGTGGTTCGCAGGCCCTTGCATCCTAGCTTATGAACCAAAGACTCACAGGTAGTCCCTGACAGGAAGGCTCCTATAACGTCGGCGTCGGTGACGTTAGGGAGCTCGTTGCACTACCGAGAGAAGCGTCGGATGTACCCACCGAGGGTCTCACCGGTCTTCTGTCGGCAGTTCTTGAGGTCCCATGGGTTCCTAGGGTGCTTGTATGTGCCCTAAAAGTTCCCCGCAAAGATCTCTCTTAGATCCGCCCAACTCTGGATCGTGTTGGGCGGCAGGTGTTCCAACCACGCTCATGTCGAATCGGCTAGGAACAGTGGAAGGTTGTGGATAATGAAGTTGTCATTATCCGCACCACCGGCTTGGCAGGCAAGCCGATAGTCTTTAAGCCATAATCTAGGGTTTGTTTCCCCAGAGTACTTTGGGATATTGGTCGGTGGTCGGTACCTTGGCGGGAAAGCAGCGTTGAGGATGTGATGGCCGAAGGCCCAATAGGCCGGGCCTCGGGCTTCAGTCCTCGCCACTGTCATAGTGTCTGCCGCGACGAGGATGATAGCCACGGCGGGCGCCTTCTCTCAAATCACCGTGGGTACGCCTGCGAGCATTAAGAGTGCTACGTGCGTCACGGTTACAGCCGAGACGCTGATGCACCGAGACCGTGGCACGCTGCCTGCCGCCCAGTGGGGTTTGGTGGACCGATGCGTCCCTACCGGGATGTTCTGAGAGCATGCGCTAGCTGGCGTTGAGCTCGCGTCGCCGAGACAACGAGCTTTCGGCCTACTACGCCGCCGCTCGCTCGAGCAGTGTGCGAATCTCATGGTGGGCACGACGATCCTCGGGCGTCGCGGCCTCTAGAAGACCATGTAGCAAGGCCGTCGCAGCGGCGATGTTTTGGCTTGCCTAGGTGAAGCAAGGAAGGGTCTCATCGTCGGTGATGATTCTCCGGTTCACATCGTGGGCCATGGCGCGTGCGTGCCCACCGTCTTCGTGGCGCTCGATCTCCCGATCAAGCTCCGAGCGTTCCTGCTCGAGCTAGAGTTGCTCTTCGTCGAGCTCTTAGTGTCGGGCTTTTAGCTACTCCACCCTCATTCGAGGTGGGGCAGCTATTTCCCTCTCGACATCGTCGTCAAGGTTGTTCATCGGGGTACCCCCTCCCTAGAGACTCTTTCGACGTGTCCCTCAGAGGTACCCATCATGAAGCATTCACGAGAGGGGGTGATGGCTTGCCCTGCTTGAGTCAGAGCCAGATGACGACCCCGGCTCCTCTATGAGGAGGTTGTGGAGAGACTCCGTGACGTGTTCGATCACCCCCACGAACTCATCGTTCATGGGTGGTAGGACCATGTGTCGTGCCACAAGGTGCCTAATGGTCGTCGCAGCGTTGTGGAGACCGAACAGAAACGCTGTCGGGGTGCTCCGTGTGTGGTGTTCCGGAGTGAGGGATCCCCTCCGCCAAACCACGCCATGTCGTTGGCGTCGGAAAGGGTGAGGCGGTGCTGGTCCTCCCTAGACTGCTGGGGTCCTAGGGAGACACCGAGCTGGCACTGAAGCTTCTCGTAGTTGAGGCCGATGGAGGGGAGAGATTGGATGGCGGCGTGAGCCAATGCCAACTCTCCTCCCATAGTGATGATGAAGTCCAGGTCACCGAAGCGCACGTGTGCGCCCGGGACCCAGCTGATTCCATGGCTAGCCATCCGTGGCCTGATGTTTAATGTCGGAACGCGCAAAGGTCCCCTACCTGACGCGTCAACTATCGATGTTTCGAGTAAGCACCAACTAGTAAATTTGTATTTGTTGCGCGTTAGGCCCGAATGGTGTGCTAAAAGACACATGGTTTATACTGGTTCAGACAGAATGTCCCTACGTCCAGTTTGTTGCTGTTGCTCGTGTTATTAGCACTGAAAAGGTTCGTAGTAGGGGGTACAAATGGTCGAGAGAGGGACAGGTTCCAAGTCTCTGATGAAATGGTCGAATAGGCGTTGAGAGCTGGGTTGCCGCTCAACTGCGTGTAATGTGGTGCGTGGAGTGTAGGATTGATTCGTCCCCTTAGTGGGGTGCCCTACCCTCCCTTTTGTAGACCAAGGGGGAGCAGGGACTACAGATGGGAGAAAGACAAAAAAATCAGCGGTAGAGAAGGTCCTTCGAAGATGCCGGGTCTTCCTTTTCCCTTGAGCCTGCCCTGCTGATAAGGCAGACGGTGCCATGGATTGCACGTTCGTTGATCCTGATAGGGCCGTACTCTGGCTTCGTTCATCAAATAGTCATGTCACATCTTACTCTGGCGGACGGTGCGGCGTGCCATGGTGCTGAGCTGTGACCCTACGGGGAGCATACGGGGAAGTGACAATACGCCTGTTACTGTAGATGATGTGAGTTCCCTCCTGGATTATAGTGGTTGTCGCATGCTTATGTCAGAATCCGCGTCCGAGGGCTTATGGCGGCGTCCACAATACTGTAAGACAAAAGTCGACGCCTACAACACTGTTTGGGCTCTACCGTGCCTGGAAGGGCTTAAAGTGCCCGTCTGGTCCTATCCTGACAGTACTTTCCTGCAGGCGTGCAGGGTATGGTCCTCGATATTACCGTTGACTTGGGTGTCCTGTTTTGCCCTGTGCTCGTCATTATGAAGGAGCAGGGTGCAGACGTCGGGCGAGGCGAAGCCCAACCTTCGAGGGTCGGGCGAGGCGGAGCCTGCCCGCGGACGTCGGGCGAGGCAGAGCCAGTCCCCGGTCGTCGGGCGAGGCGGAGCCGGCCCCGGCCCTCGGACGTCGGGTGAGGCGGAGTCTAACCCTCGGGGGTCGGACGAGGTAGAACCAATCTTCCGTCGTTCGGGCAAGAAGTGTAGTTGCGTTCTTTCTGATCGGAAGCGTCAATGTTTGATGGTTATTAGCTCCTCCTCTTCGGGTACCCCAGTATTCAGTCATCGACAAGTGCAAAGACAAATCGTATCTTCTGGTAATATATGTGGTGAAAGTCTACTTACTTTGGCATGCAAATGAATGTTTTGAAAACTCCGTGAAGGTCTCCAAAACATGTTTAAGGACTTACGCAGATTGTAAATTAGATAGTTAATGCGAGAAATAATTTTATTATGCCTTATACAAATATGCCTTATACAAAAGGGTTTTCCGAATTGTATACATGCTCAAATACAATTGTATAAAAATTGAACTATGGAAAAAAATATCATTGTTTGGTTGTTTTCATATGCATCCTTAAAATAAAGCCATGATATTAGCACGGACATTACATTAATCCTAGCTAATCACTGGTCCTAAACAGGCTTGGCCATAAAGGTGCCCCGTGCCCGCCCGCCAGCAACTCTGGTGCGGTGTCTGATTGGGTGGGATCCGAGCCGACCCGACCCGACCCGCTCTCTCCATAAACCCTCGCTTGTCGCTTCGCTTTTTCCCCAACTCCAACTCCCTCTCCTCCCCAACACCAATGGACCCGCCGCCGCCGCCGACGTTTCGCCGGGAGGCGTGGGAGGGCTGTAGCGTCCTCCTCGACATCAATGACGGCGACTGCCTAGCCTTCTTCCGCCTCACCCCTGGAGCCTCAGTCCTACCCTCCCCCGCCTCCCTGACTTCGCTACTCCCCTCCCCCTCGAACCAACCCTTTGTGTGCGCGCAGGACGGTGAAGATTGGGAACAAGACCTGCTCGCTGCAGCCGCTCGTGGGGCGCCCCTTTGGCTCCCTCTTCCGCCTCGGCACCGACGGACTCGTCCCCTGCGCCGCCGCGGACGCCACATCTCGTGGTAAGGATAGATTCTGATTCGAAGCTTCTGTCGAGCTGAATTGCCAGCTCGAGTTAACATTTTTATTAAAGCTCTACAAGTTCTAATCTTTTACTACTTGTAAAGCTCAAGCTTTTTCTATTTTCATTCAGTGTGCAATTTTCAATTAATTGAAAACATAGTAGAAGCATGTTATTGTTCATAGTTAGTCAGCTATTGGGCCTCATCTATATCCAAGTTCTGTACAGTTGCTGTTCCATTGCGCCATATGTACAATGTGCCTAATTAATGAAAGCCTAATTTTTGGAACTAGTTTAGTGGGGGCGAAGCCAGGCATGAAAATCACCAGGGTCAGCTCCATTGATCATCACATAAAATGTACTAGCAAACAGTGAATGAATCTATATATGTTTTGCCAAAATTTATAGGGGTCGGCTGACCCCAGTAAATACACGTAGTTTCGCCCCTGTTTCCTACAAACAAATCATTTTGTCTTCTTTTTAACAACAGATAAGCGTCATGCTGCAATGATTCCTACTATCGTGGTTAACTAATGCCTCTCTCTCTCTCTCTCTCTCTCTCTCTCTCTCTCTCTCTCTCTCATGGTGTACTCATCATTATGCACACTATTTAAATTTTGTAACAATGACTCATTTATCTAGATCATAACACGCGAGATGGTGCCGATGGCCAAACGCAGGATGAAACCAGAGACAATAGGTCTCTGGTTGATAATAATACGGCTCAAAATTTATCTAGCGATGACAGAGAGGCAATGAAGAGGTGAGATTCTGATCATATTTGGTTTTTATTGAATATAAGCTATGCTTTGTTCTCTTTTACCTGTGATTTATGTGCAAATTTGTATGCGATTTGATTTTATAAAACAGGGATGGTGCAACTGGTGATGAGATTGTGGAAGCTTTAATAGCAAATAGCTCAACATTTGGAAAGAAAACTGTCTTCTCGCAGGTTAGTACAATAATTTCTTAACTTTATTTTCTTTGGTCTCCTGAAGTTTCAAAAGTGTTGGTGATTGGTTTAATTAAATCATTTTGGTTGCAGGAGAAGTACAAGTTAAAGAAACAAAAGAAATATGCACCTAAAGTTCTTTTGCGACGCCCTTCTGCTCGGAGGTACCTTTCTAGTAGTCTTTGTACAGTCTCCAAATATGTCAAGTTGTTTTTGAGATGTGTACCCTTGGTTTACGTTGCTGTACTTTTGACATGTGTTCATGTACGCAACCAGATATTAATGTGCTTTCACTGTATTTATTTTCCTGATGCTTTCTCTACAAGAGATAAAGTAACATGGTGATTTTTGTACGACTATTAATACATTCAATTATATTTAAAAAAGTGTCATGCAACATGTTTAGAGAGTGGGTACAGACCAGACTGGGAGATGAAGAATGCAAATGAAACTACTTATACTTTCTAGCCTTTGACATGTGAAGTCAGCATGTCCAACACTATTGTTTCAATATTTATTGTGTTCCCGCTTTACTGAAATGAATGATATTGTGTTCTTTGGAGAATAAAATATATTTTGTGGCAGGTAATAGTTACAATGCCAATTAGCTCGTTGGCAAGAGTGAAGGAGGAACATTTCTAATAGAAATACCAATTTTCCATATTTTTGTTATGAAGCCTTGCCCTTGCACTACCAAGTGTTACGTATTAGATTAGATTTGGCTTGATTTATCTAATTTTTTGCGTTTATTTTGTAATATTCTACTATAAGTTTTATTTGGCATAGCACATGCTCTTGAAAATGTGATTGCTGGATCTTTGTCAATTTTAAATTCATTTTTTGATCATATGGATAATTTGTGATCATTTTCATGTGCAGCATTTGTGAGACATACTTCAAGAAAAGTCCAGCTCATATAGGGTAATTATTTTCTTCATTGACAAGTGGCATCTGTTGTTTTGTTTCAGTCCTCATATATAATTTCTTCTTTTTTGCTTAACGTGTACTACTCTCATTCACTTTATGCTGTTCTTTCTGTGGTTATTAGGTTTATGCGAGTTGACACGCTATCTCTCTTGTTGTCTATGGCAAACATTGGTGCGTATTCAGATGTGCTTGTTTTTTTATGGTTGGAGGTTTAGTTGTTGGAGCTGTTGCTGAACGCTTAGGAGGTAAAATATGTTTCTCTTTTACTTTACTACTAGTTCAATAAGATTAAACTTAATGGATGTTATTGAATTAAATACAGTTAAGCTCTATTGGCTACATTCAGATGCTAAACGTTCCACTTAATACCTTGTTATGATCGGCTAGAAGCCACCAGGATTTTTGGTGAAGTTTGCTTTATAACAGTTTGATCTATGCTGTCGGTATGAGGAATAAGTAAGCCAATAAATAAAATTTCTATGCATGTGATCACTAAAATGTGCAAGTTGCACTACTTGTTGCCACAAAGTGCAAGCTATATTCACTAAATATGTAAGTCCTAAGTGCCTGGTGACTGCCATTGTGCCTAAGTGCCAACGTCCAGTATTCATCATTTTGTTTAAATATATATTAGATTAGAACTGCTTTTTGGTGTTCTCTGGGTATAGACATTATAATGCATTGGTTATGTAAATCCTAATGTGATTATGAATATTTTATGTTGTTCGTTACATTAACAGGTACAGGATATGTTTGCAGCACATATCTTGGTTCAGCACCCTGCTGCATCGACATTATAAGAATGTACAATTTGAGCAGTGATATGGTCAGCAGGTAATTTTCTTTTGGCACTAGGTTGCTTTTAATTAGATGATGTCTGGAATAACAATGTTATGGACAGTGACCTTCTAATCAAGTTAATAGCACATTTGCCATCCAGAAACGAAGCATGAGTTATTCGGAGCACATGAACTATAAAATTGTAATTGGACTTTTCACCATTAGTCTATCAGCAGATTTCAAGCACAAATTATTCTCCAGTTGTGACCTTGTTGGATTGTACAAATTCATGAATACAGCCGTTCAAACTGGATTTTCTAATTGTTTACCATCCAATTTAATATAACCAATCACTTCTTTTGGACTATTGGTCCATACTGTCATATACTAGATTCTTATTTCAAGCTTGAGATATATGAATGAAGCAGTTCAAGTTATAGAAGTAGTCAGCATCCATGATTTAGTTGAAGTTATACTGTGTCTGAAAATGTTGTGATAAACTTTCCATACAGGATTGTTCAGGCGCCACTTAGTGACCTATGTTCAATGCATAGTTCTGGGAACACCCCTTCTCTTCTCAATGGTGGCGCTGAAGAGGAGATGGTAGAGCCTGCTGTAGTACCAGATGAGGATGCCTAGGCGTCTTTGGCACAGCAAGTTGACACAGCAGTGTCAGATGAGAAGGCACAGTTATCAACAGATCAGCCAACTGATATGGAGGTCTCAGAGCCTTCTTTGGATGAGCATCCTGTTCAAGATGAAAACTCTTCATTAGGTAAAAAGTTGATGAATCCAAAAATGCTCTAGTGAAGTTAAGTTTTGATCTCTGGATGCTATGTGAATCTGTAGATGGCAAAGGCAGTGATGGTAATTTAGATGCTTCAAAATCTTCTAAAGCTGGAAAAGCACCATCACCAGAGAAGATGAAATATTGGAAGGAACATGGCTTTAGTAGGTAATACAAGTTATAGAAGAAAGTTGTTCTTCTATTATAGTACAGGTTCCAATTAACATGATGGTGTCTTCTTAATGCAGTTTGATTGTTTGTGCCCCTGGCCACGAAGTCGAGCGTCTTGTCGCTGATCTGCTTCCACTTTTGTCTTATTCAGCTCCATTTGCTATATATCATCAGTATCTTGATGTAAGTAAATATAAATATTTCTTGATCTTGATACAGAAGCATGCCACGTGTTAACTAAATTTCATTTGGTTTATTGCATTTATGCTAGAATTTTTGCTGTCTAGAATCTTGATTGAAGTGTCTGGAAAGCAACATAGAGCATCCTTTTCATGCCTGAGATTATTATTAACATGTGTTGTGGAGAAAAGTCATTTTTTTGTTTCTTCCTATCTCTCGTTTGCTCTTCTATAAAATATGATTGTCATAGTTCCTTATTTCTTTGTCTATATCTTCATGCAGCCTCTTGCAAAGTGCATGCACAGCTTACAAGTATCAAAGATGGCTATTGGATTGCAGCTTTCTGAACCCTGGCTACGTGAATACCAGGTCAGTGCCTGAACATTGAGGAATTTAAAGCAGAAATAGCTGTCCTTATGAGTTTTAAGGTTCTCTTATCCACATTCTTAAATAATGCATTTGAAGATAATTCTGCACTCTTCCAATAATCGTAACGTATTATGTGTACTGAATTTGCTTATTAAAATGCAGTAGGCTAATTTCGGAAACAAAATTTATGTGCTGCTAGGTCATCTTTTGTAATTTCCCACATGATGGTACATGTTTAAACAGTTACAACAGATAGGAAAAATGCACAATTGCTAGGTCATCTTTTGTACTTTCCCACATGATGGTCCATGTTTCAACAGTTACAACAGATTGGAAAGATGCGCTATTGCTTTTTATTTCATGTGCCCTAGCCCCCCTTCAAAGAAGTATTGGTTTAGGAACTTAAAGAACTCTGGTCTTCCTTATGTACAATACAGGTCCTTCCATCGCGCATCCATCCACACATGCAAATGAATGCGTTTGCCGGTTATATCTTGAGCGGCATAAGGATACACAATACAGATTGTATGATAGCAAACGAGTGAGTCATCAATAAGGCATGGTTTCAAGCAAAAAAGGATAGCGTGCCATTTTTTTACCTTAAAAGGTGGGCAAAATTTTGTAGTCTAGCTAGCAATCTGCTTGCATGTTGAAACCAGTATGCGGTTACCAGACATACGTTGCCATGCTTACAGTTACAGAGAATGACACCTGGGAGTAGGACAAGAGCATTGCTATCAAGATGTGTAATCCTGTGTAACTTGTATTATTATTTGTTGTAGTTTTAGAGAACTGTATTAAACTTGTACGGGTCGAGGTATTTTATGCCTCCGGCTGTAGTATTTGCTGGAGATATCCTTGTGTACTGTTTATATGCTTATGGTGAACAGACAGATGTACGAGTTTTTAAGAGACGTGAAAAGGTATTAACTCCCTCGTCATACTTTCTCTGTCCCAAATTAAATCAACTTATAGAGTTGTACTAAATCAAACTATTTAAATTTAACTAAATTTGTTTAAAAAATTATTTATGACACTAAATTAGTATCACTCAATGCATCATGAAATATATGTCATAATATATTTATTTACTGTCATAGATGTTATCCTTTCCAATAAAGCCGTTAAGCTTAAGATGGTTTGACTTATGATTAATGTAACTTAAGAGGGTTTGATTTATGATTGTTGTAGAACTTTATATGTTTTGGAACGGTGGGAGTAATACTCATAAAAAAATGTGTCATCTTTTGTTCACTGAGAATTATGGAAGCACTGAAATGCATTTGTGTTCAAGGCACCAAGTCCTAGTATGCCAATGGTTTTACAAGCGGTGGCAAATGATATCTGTTTCTGGTGTTTTCTGTCGCTCCTGGTTGAGGCTCTAGTGTGTTGGCTTGTCCTTGTTCTTTGTTTTTTTTTTCCATAAGTCTTTACTATGAAATGTAGCATTATCAAAACAAAGGAATAGAAAAATTGCATGGAGCTTTACACAGTTTAACATGAATTTAAATTTAAAAATACAAGAAAGTTTCCATTATAACCTTTGGATGCAACACAAGAACAGTGTATGAGTTTTCAGAGAGAGTAAAGTTTTTATGATGTCCAACCTCCTGTTTGTTCTTTAAAATTCCTATGGTTTTATACAGATTTTTTTCTTAATTTTAACACTTTTTGAAAACTAGTTTTAAATCTAACACGGTCGGTTTTTTTTTAACTAACACTTTTGGCCGCGCTTATTGTCCTGGCGCGGCCAAATGCCTGTGCCGCGCCATGCATGGTGGCGCGGCAGAGGGTTGACGTGGCGATGACCGGAGTCGCGACAGTTGACGTGGCAGGGCTCTGCCGCGCCACCGATCTTGGCGCGGCAGGGCCAAATAAATATCGCGAGCGAGCCCCCCCCGCCAAGCGCCGCTTCCCCGCCGCTTGACCGCCCGCCATCAAGCTACACTCACGCCCTCGCCACCACTACATGCTGCGCACGAAACGCCGTGGCGTCAAGGCCACCCGCTCCTAAGGTACCTCCCTCTCGATTTCATGTTATTTTGATTATTATTGTTTTAGGATAATTAGTAATATAGGATAGTTCCGCGCCTGCTCACGCCCTCGCCGGCCACTACCGCCGCGCCACGAACGCCGGCGCGTCAAGGCCACCCGCTCCTAAGGTACCTCCCTCTCGATTTCATGTTATTTTGATTATTATTGTTTTAGGATAATTAGTAATATAGGATAGTTAGGGTTTTATGATTGTTATTGATTTATGATAGTTAGTGATTTAGGATAGTTAGTGATTTAAGATAGTTAGGTTAGTGAATTTGTCTGTGATTTACTTAGATTTTTAGGTTTGAGGTTAGGATTTTGGGTTTAGGGATTGATTAGGTATTTATTATTTAGTTTATAGTTAGTTATTTAGTTAGGGATTTTGGGTATAGATACTAGTTTACAAATGTCGGTACTTACTAGTGCGTGATACGTCGATTTTGATGATTTCATGAAGTTTCGTCAAATGCTTATATTCCTAGTGAAGTTGTTTATGTTACTAGTGCGTGATATGTCTGTTTATTTTACTTTGAATATATACATGTGCTTTCATATTGCATAACAAGTAGTTCAAATTTTGCAATGCTACATAATGTTAATTTAAATTTTGTTAATTTGAATACTCTAACGCTTTGTTTATCAATTTGTAACAGGATGACCCCTCCCACGCAGCACCCGTGGTACCTCATTCTTGAGGTGGAGTACGACGACCAGCACCGAGCACACATCTTGAGTGACAACGACGCAGATCGGCATGTCTCAGTTAGGTGGTGCCCCGCTTGGTACCCAAGGAGCCTCATAGGTATTAACAAATGTAGTTTATTTAAATATGTATGCTCCATGAACTAACGATCATAAAGAATTATAAATAATCGTGCGTATCATATACTTACAGGGTACGAGCCGTACGCACCGCCGACGTGACCATACAGACGTTGGCTACACTCCCAATGTGTTGCCAACAAATCCGAAGAGACAAAAGCGTCCGAGGGATCCTTACACTCCTGGGTCTTAGTTTGTTAGGTTGAACTAATTTTGACGTCCGAAACTTGCAAGCTTAGTTGGTTATGTTATGTCGAACTTATGTCAAACCAATAAAAATGTTATATGGCAGCTTGTGAATTTGCGCACGGACTTCATTTATTTGCTTCATATTCGTTTCTATGCGTCGCGGCAGCACTGCCGTCATGATTAGCTTTTCTGGCGTCCCAAGATACTACACAACAGATGAGCACCGAATAACAATTGAGGAACAGATTATATATCCCCACAACCTGAAATCATCCACCAGGAATCCAGGATCGTAGCTTTATAGTTGCATTTCTATCTATTCTATGGAGCTGAAAAGATAGACAGGGAGGAGGAGGCCAGTCGAAAGCATCTGATGAACTTCCACGATGAGTGCGTACGTATATATCCTATGAGTTGTTGTTAAGGAGCAACACCACAAGTCCACGAGTGCTTATGATCGATTGATTCACCTATAATTAATGTGAGAGGCGTGTAAGGGGGAACTGAAGACCAGTCATTACGGTGGTTAATATGGGCGGCCGTTGAAAGAGAAAACACATGAAACATACATCTGAAACGCGTGAAACATCCGGTTGCAAAAGGCTCGTCAACATGGAGCTCGACGTCGGCGCAGAGTTCGATGCCATGGAGTGACGGGGTGGTCGCCGGTGCGAAGTTCATTGGCGGCACAGGCCTCGGTAGTGGCCGCAATAAGTGGATGGGCGCGTGGCCGCGGCGAGTGGCGCAGTTCCAAGCACGAGGCATGGTGGAGGCGGTAAACCGTCCAGGTACCGCCGCGTCATGCGCCGTGGCGTGGCACTGCCGCGCCAAAATCGGTGGCGCGGCAGAGCCCTATCACGTCAACGGTCGCGATTCCGGTCGTTGCCACGTCAGCCCTCTGCCGCGCCACCATGCATGGCGCGGCACAGGCATTTGGCCGTGCCAGGGTTAGATTTAAAATTAGTTTCCAAAAAGTGTTAAAATTAAAAAAAAAATCTTTTCTACATCCCATAGGAATCTAAAGGAATTTTGTAGGGTTTAATCTTTTGTTTCAAAAGTGCTTACGAAGCAGCTATTGACGTGAATCGGGGCTCATGTTGGGTTTTCAACTAGTCTAGTTGTCTTTTCTTTCAAATGGACATAGGGAATTCTCCTATAGGATTAAAATCTTCCAGAATTCTTATGCTTTTCTTTTATTTCAGAGGCCTTAATCAAAGGACATGGAGCTTTTTGCATCATGAGAGAGAGAGAGAGAGAGAGAAATGTGGTCCCATGTATCATGCATTTTTGGTGTGTAGTGTTTTGTTCAGTCTCGGGGAATGAATCAGGGTGAGGAAGTATTGGTTCAAACACCTCTGGCTTAAAACTTGATATTTTGTTTTTTATTCAAAGTCAAATTCAAACATTGTATGTATATATATACACGAACCAGGAGAAAGAATTGAGCTTTGGCCTTGTGACACTGGGTCATTGCAAGTCTGTGAACTGTGATGTTGAGAAGCATTTCGAGTTCCAGAGTTACAATTCTGACTGTTTCTGCGTCAAATGAAAGCGACAATTCCGAGTGAACACATAACAGGAGAGCGCAACAAATGAGTTGTGTGGTACAGTCAGTAGGCAGTAGCATCTTCTGCATTCGGTTTCCGAAGTTGCATTGCATACAATATACAAGCTGACAATTCCGAGTGAACACGCAAGCAGTCTGCCGGTCACTCTTGCACTGGAGACTGGAATTTTCTTGAAACCTGCGCCGCCACGAAGTCGTAGGTAGGCGCGTGATGGAGGGTCGATCAATGGCGCGTCCTAGGATGAGACCAGAGGCCAGTGGTCCACCCGTCCACGACGACGCCGGAATGGATGCATGCACGTAACACGCCGTCCGGATTCCGATGGACCCCGGACGGAGGAGGGGGAGTCGACGTCGTGCTGTTTTGTTTCTTCTTCTTCTTCCACGAGAGCGACAACCGGCCGCCGGCCCGGTCTGCTCGACTGCTCCTGCGTCTGCGTGCGGCGTAGCCACGTCAAAGATGCGGTGCCGAGTGCCGACGCGTGTTTCCGTCTCCGTCTTCCTGGACGCTCTCCGTCCGTCCCGGTCTCCCCACGCGGCGGCCCGGCCGGCCACGGCCAGCCAGAGCAGGTACTACTACTTGGCGACAATCAACGAAAGCGTGGGTCCACGGCCCGGACTCCTTCACACTTCACACTTGGCAGGGTCAGGGAGGACTCGATCGGCGACTCCAGTCCCTCCAAAGCGCACCATTTCTGCTGCCTGCTCCAACACACCACACGCTGACACGCCTGGTGGTGGTGGTCGCCGTCGTCGGCATGAGGAAAACGAGGGAGGTGGGAGACGAGACGACGGACCACGCGGTGTGGGCGTGTGGCAGTCGTAGCCTGAGGGCTGAGGCTGGGCCCCCAACAGCCACGACGAGTAGTACTCCGTAGAGGAGGAGGCGGGCAGAGGGGCGGCTACGGCCTTGTCTTGACGCGCTTGGACTGGCGCGGAGCCTGCCTAGATGCCGTTTCGCGCCCGCATCGGTTGGGCCCCAGCCTGCCTCCCTTCTCCGTGGTGGGCCGTGGCCTGCTTGCTGCTGGGCTCGCGTGCCTCGCCTCTCGGCTGTGTGATGGACCATACCAACGAAGAGGATCCCCATCCATCCCAACCGCCCAAGCCAGTCAGTGAAGGCTGCTGCTGTCCACGCTCGCCGTCCTCGTCCGCACCACAGTCCACAGTGCTGCGTGTACAGTAGCGCAGCAGTGAGTGGAGTAGCACCAGACCACCGTCCCACAGAGCAATAACTGTTGTGCGACTACAGGACGGTATAGGTGTGCCTCGGATGGAGTGGGGTTCCGGCCCACCACCGTACTACCACTCTCGATTCAGTGCAACAGACAAAGGCAGGCAGCAGACGGCAGAGGTAGCAGCGGTGCATGCCGTGCGCAAGGCCATGATGACAGCGCGAGCCGTACCAGAATCGCACCGGATCATCGCCCTCGTCGTCACCCGCCACGTCCGGATCAGTCAAAACTGTTAGGGTGACGAGGACCAACAATTGTTTCTTTTCTTTCATATAAGCATAGCATATACGGTAGCACATTAATAGTATAGGAGTATATATATAATAAAAGAAGATAAGTTCATCGTTTTGAGACAGGCCCAGCACCCCAGTTCCGGTCAAAGCTTTTGTCCTGGGTGCGGCGCACTGTACCATCTGCTCGCCAGACCATGGATCCACATCCACTGTTGCTACTACGACAGCCACAAGGCCACGACAGTGAGTGACGCCCTTAGGATTGGCAGTTGGCACGTTCCACGGCCGCTGCTGACCTGCTCTGCTGTCGTCGCCCCGACCGGACCAACCGGCGACCACCCAAGCCCCAACCAAGCATATCCTCCGGGGTCCGGACCCATGGAGGCATAGATCGGATCAGCATGCAGCGAACCTCGCCGACACGTTTCGGCCTCTCGTCGCGCTGAAAGGGACCCTCGCGCACATCGCGAAAGCCAGCAGGTCCCTTTCCAGTTTCCAGCCACGCTAGTACACGACACCAGGTGTCCCGTCCGGTGAACCCTCCCCTCCTCTCTCCCCTGCCGGTCCAAGGCGCATTTCATTTCGCAAATTCGCAGTGCAGGATGAGAGCACCGAGCCAGCCACGTTGACCGCCGGAGCGAGATGGCTGGCTCTGGCTGGCAGCACGAGCGCCACTGGAAGTGCAACCCAGGCGAACGGGTTAAACACGACACGGTACCAGTGGCGCCAACTGGGCGAGATGGATGGATGGCTTTTCCACGGAGACGGCCGTGCCGCACGCTCTTGTTTTTCCACGGGAAAGTCGCGGGAGAGAGACAGGCTGCCAGGCAGGGGCGCAGGGCCGAGGGAGGCAGGCGGGATGGGCGTCAGCCACACACGCCTGGTTGGTTGGTTGCCCCGGCACGCCACGGCGGCACCCTTTCTTTCCTTTCTTCTCTGCAAAAATAGCACAGCAGCACCACCACTTCCTCGGTTCCGTGAGTTAACAAAACACACCAAAAGGGACAGAAATCGCGCCCACGGCAGGAGTCCTACCTCCAGTTGCCTTGCCCTGCCTGCCTTAATGCCATTGCCTTTCGCTTTTGCTTCGCTTTCCTTTGCATTGCATCACCAGACACCAGGCAGGCAAGACGATAAGGGAGGGAGGGGCAAAGGGGCCCGCCATACACTTGCCCTGCATTCCCATGCCCCAATCATGCATATGGATGGCAAATACAGACAGTGTGTGCTTTTAGTCCCTATCATCGCCACGAAGACGGTGTAAACGACACGGATTTGCACTAAGCATATGCATCACACAGCACTCAGGGGGAGGTCACAGGTCAGGTCCTCTATATAACTCTTATAATACATTCAGTGAGAAGATCAGACATACATATACCAGTTTTTGCCATTTATCTCACGCTACAGAGCTGGGCTTACAGGGATTAAAATACCGCGAATAGCTGCTCGTTAATACCAAAGGTACTGCTACTGCTTGCTACTACTTACTACTGGCTGGGACTGGGTACATAAATATTTACATCATTAGGCAGAAGAGCAAATCAGCAATAACAATAGTAGTACTAATCTTGGCCCTTAAACTTGCTGCCAAGAGCAAACTGCGGAGAAGTAAATGGAGACAGTTCTACGTTCACTACTAAAACCCAAACGGACGGGATGGGTGGCTACGGACAAGCAAAAGATTTCAGGAGTTACTTGGCTGGGACCCGGGCACCCGGCACAATGCATCGTCGGCTTCCTTCACACAACCTACACGCAAGCCAAAAGGGACAAACGAAAGATGAGCCCCTTTTCCTTTTTCAGTGCAGCTTATCATGCCAAACATAAGTATCATGTGACCAGAGGCTTTCGGGGTCAAGAATCAACATCATGAGACAAGTTTTAGAAGAGCTAAGCCTACCGGATGCTGAATTTAGCAATGCATTTACAGTTACTAAACAGAGACATCCAATGTTTATTTAGTTCAGTTAAAAACCCATTCGCCATCACTGTTGCAAAAACAAGTATTGAGGATCAAAGGAGGACTTACCTAGTTATCTAAAATTGCTTGCTGCAGGGCAGGCAGACATCCTACTCATTTGGGGCGGCGCAACCTTCACCAGCTGCTAGAGGTTCCTCCTTTCTTGGCGCAGATGATTTTGAATTCATCTTCTGGACCTCCTCCTTTGTATAGATGTAGATCTTCCGCACTATGCTACAGAACTCTCTGCTCATAAATAATGAACTGGTGTCAACATTGGAACAAAAGCGCATACATGTATCAAGCTACGAGTAAGATAAAGACTTACTCCCACGGGTCATCTCCCACAAGCATCATGTCACCCTCGTTGTCAGTATAAACGATCTGCCAGTTTCTGTTGGCAGATACTAGTTCACCATCGAATTCAAACATCTTGTCTAGTTCTGCTTTGAGTTCATCATAGTCAGTGAATTTAGAGAGGTCCACAGATCTGCCAAGCGCAACTCCTTGCTTATGAACCTGAAAACCATTCAAAGCAGAAGTGTAAATTGCAGAGGATAGGACTACAGAAAAAATATAAGCTCAGCCACAAAGCAATCATGCAATATTATTATACATACAACTATAATGGTGCAATCAAGCCAGTCTACATGGACTGAAAGCATCCATGACAAGTATCATCAGGCATGTTTTGTTAATTGACTTCTTTTTGTTTTTTTAATTTAATTCTATCAAATGGAAATGTTTGGCAAACTAGGAAGACCGCCAAACCATTATTGGCTGATTTGACCAGTGTCAGTGAAAATCACAGCTTTGAGGCATGGGATACTCAAGATCCTGTGCAGATATGGACGATTAGGATCCAAACCCAAAGGATTTATAAACCATATAGCAATATTCCCTTATCTAGAGAGGTCAAAAGTATTTTTTTAAATAACTGATAAAATATTCCCAATCACATGCAAAAATTGAATAAAATCAATTTAGGCAAGTGCATGGTCACAAACATAAAAACAACAATACCTTTGTGCAGCTCCTTGTCGAAGCACCCTGGGACTTGCTTTGAATATCTTTTGAACTTTGCTGGGCTTGCTGAATACTTTTCTCGTTCTCAGTGGCAGTTCCAGCTGTGCTTACAGACCCCTCAGGCAAGCACTCATTTTGCACAGGTTGCAATTCATTCACAGGTGCCGATGGTCGAGTTTGTACCACATGTTCCCGGATAGCAGACAATGGAGAGCTCAACTGGACAGGAGATGGACTGGTTGTATCAACTTGGAACCCAAAAATCTTGAACCCACTGCCTTCTCTAGTCTTTTCCAAATCAAATGGAGCAACTGTTGCATGGGGCCTGACCACTCGTGACTGTTCAACCTGGGGAAATGGCTGGTTCAACCAACTTGATGGGTTTTGTCCAAAGTTGAAACTCTGCTGTTGTTGATCACCTGGATTACCATAGATCATATTCTGGTCGCTCCAGAAACGCAAGTCACTGTTTGCTGTTTGTGTCCTTGTGCTTGATTCAACAGTAAGAGAAGGTTGTTGAGCCATATAGAAGTATGGATCCGCAAAGCGATGAGCTGAACCCTGATCTCGAAACTGATTATTGAAAGAAAGACGGTGATGATTGTCATCGTAAGCTTGCATAAAGAACCCCTGCGTATCTCCAAATGATTGAGAGGCGGTGCGGGCATCCTTGAAGGCAGAACGTGTGTCCTTGAAGTCAGTTTCACGCCTTCCCAATGGCATCCAATTCTCCATAGCAGGTCTCTGCTGAAAATTAGTGTGGGCTTTCCCATTGGGCGATGGGGACCACATCATCGGCTTCTGAACAGTGGAATCAGAGTCGTTGCTTTCAGTCAGGTTATTCCTCAAGGTCATCTGCTCTTGACCTTGCAACACCGAATTTTGATGTTGTGTTTGAGCAGAGTCGATATCGATCTTGGCTGCACCTACAAATGGCACAAGATGATTTGTAAAGCATTAGCCTCGCTATATTTTAGTCACCATTGCTCTTGTAACTGAACAATCTAGTAAACTTACTTTCTTTTTTGAGAACAGATGCTTCAGGTGAAGGTGGAGGAGCATTTTGTCTAGGTCTTTTACTCTAGAAGAAAGTGGGAGTGGATTAACTGAGGTGATGAAGCAGGCTCTATCTTCCAAGGAGAGACCCTATCTGGTCGTGGGATTGTAGAAGGCTCATCCCAGCGCACCTATAATTAATAAATAAAAAAGCAACCCTTCATCAGCGTAAGATTTAAGACCATAATGGAAACAATAAACATTGAATAAGCAGTTACCTTCAAGTATCTCCAACTCGAATCAGGCCATAGTGGGTCAAGATTTTCACAGCCAATGATTGTACCAGTAAACCTAATAAGTAACTACAAATAATGAGCAGGTACAATGATGGGACCAGGTGACATGAAGCTACAAAACACAGAACAATAAGACAGTTACCTCTGCTCTGGTGCCTCTTCCCCCTTCAAACCTCATCCTGAATCTCATCCCAATAGAATGATTGTTTTACTGACTCCATATATTGATCATATGGTATGATGAACTCTGAAGGGCTCGTCCTAACATTGATATTTAGAGATCAGCAACAAGTTAACTACCTTTATTAAGAACAAATTGCATGTTATAGCTTCATGCAAGATTATCAAGGTAAACCAATTTGTAAAGTCTCAGAAATGTAATCAGTTTGTTGCAGACATGTCAACATACCTAGGCTTGTAGTAGACAGTGAACATGGATTTGGTGTTGATGGCATGCCATGCAGTCGCAAGGACTCCGAGGTGCATGCTTTGGCTAGATATGACTGAAGAAGGTACATTAGACAACTGCCTCATAGCCCGCCTAACACCAACTCGAAGTTCACCATTTTCTCCTCTGCATGAGGAATAACAGAAACTTAGCACCAGATCGGGAATTGCTTTCATGCTGGGTAGGCAGGAAACACAGCAGACCTGAGGAAAATGAAGGCGTCTCCAGCAACAAGCCTTTTGGAACTAACAAAAACACTCCAACCACTCTGAAGGAGATGCCTCCTAGGTTGCCCTGAAGACGGATTTTGCGCACAGTTAACAATCAAACATCAGGCACTTTTCAATGAGCATAACAGATACAATAAATCACAGAGAAACAGATGGATAATCTAAACAAAAAAATACTGAATAAATCGACATCACACAGACAATCGAAAGTAACGGTGTAACAAATCAATCAGTCCCATAGCATACACGACAGGTACGAACCACGGCAAATGAGAGGAGCCCAAATTACCACGAAAGATGTGGCGGAAGCGCCACTCCATGCCATGCAGATCCTTCGCCACCAGCTCCTGTGTGGGAGGCGACTGCGTCATATCCTGCCAACGGAACAAAGAAGATCAGCTGACCCGACGAGAAAAATCTTACGCAGAAGCTCGCGCATCTCTAGTTCTATTAATAGCATAGTCCAAATCCACAAGGGGTGAAGAACACACACCAGTGGAGGGAGGCACTCGTCAGCGTGACGGCGCAGCACGGAGAAGCCGCCGTGTGTGCTGGTGTCGGAGGCGGTGAGCGTCTTGCAGAAGGACCTGACTGCTGGCCTCGGCGACGCAGCGGACGCAGAACTCGCCTTCTCAGCCGCCACATCGGTTTGCTGCATGAACGAACAAACAGAGCGAGAGCAAGTGAGAATCTCCGAGTACCGAGGGAAATTTTCCCGATACACGTGCCGTCCGAATTGGGAGGCTACCTCGGGCTCTAGCATGAGCATGATCTGCGCGTAGACCTCATCGGTGTTCGTCTCCGCCTGGAAAAACCCGGAAAATGCGTAAGCACCGGGCCTGGAATTGCTCGCCGCAGGGGAAGCGGCCGCGCTAGACGCGGAATTGGCAGCGAAAAACCGGGGGAGGGTAAAAAAACGGCGGGAAGAGGAGGGAACCTTGAGCTCGACGTTGAGCACGCGGCAGAGCAACTTGGAGGGCAGATCGTAGAGGCGCATCTGGTTCCCGGCGACCTGGTTCATGGACGCCTCCACCTGAGAGCCCCCAGCACCCAAAATCAGCGCCCGGAGCAGGGGAGCGAGCTAAAGCTCCAGCGGGAGCAGAGGAAGAGCGGGAAGATGAGGAGGTGTACCTGCTCGATGTGTCCCTGGGGGAAGTAGAAGACAAGGTCGCCGACGCGGGGGACGGTGACGAGCGGACCGGCGCAGGCGCGCCAGAGCTCCGGGTACAGCGGATCCCCTGCCGGAACAGAGCAAGGCACCATCAGCACGAGGCTCCGCTTGGAGGAGACGGCGAACACGAACAGAGATAGAGAGAGAAGGCAGCGGGGCGCCGGAGCTGACCGGATCTGGCGCTCGCGTGCGTACCTGAGTTAGACGGGGCCTGGGACGGCAGCGCCATGGCTGCTGCGGGCGGCATCTGCCTCGGATCGGGCGGCGGCGGCGGCGGCGGCGGCGGGGTGGGAAACCCTAGACGGAGGAGAAGGGCGCGCGGAAAGGGGGGAGAGCGAAGGCAGGCGGAAAGGGGGGAGGAGGCAGCGGCAGTAGCAGTCGGAGGGGGAGAAATGTTTTTGTGGGCGGAGGAAGGAGAGGAGGGGAGACGGGAGGATTTGGTGTGGTCTCTTTGTAGGGAGTAGAGATAGACACCCCCCACGAGACGCAGCGGTGGCGTTCGGACAAAAAGAAAGCCGGTGGTGACCCGGCCGAGTTGGCTTGGACAACCGGTTCGCTCGGCCCGGTCCGGTCCGATCCGGTTTGCCGGCTGGCGAAGGCGTGGGCCCGGGCCTGTGCTTGCGTGTGTGCGGCTGGCTGGTCTGACCGGCCTGCAGCGGCAGCAAAAGCGAGACGGGGTGCGTGGTGGGTGCGGTGCGGTGCAGTGGCCGGGCAGCGGCTGCAGGAGTAGAGCAGTGGCGGGCGCTGCCGCGCACCTCACCACACCTACGGACGGACGCGCAGCTTTATAGGTGGGGTAGGACCGTAGGAGGAGCAACTCGTAGGCGACGGACGGACGGGCTCCAACGCCGCAACAATGCTTTCTGTTCTGCACCGCACCACCCTGCTCTATGCTGTTTTTACTCTACAAATATTATTACTGTACTGGTACTTGTTTGTGACGAAATTATTTTCTTTCCGAAGAAAAACTGGAAATAGCGGGGATTGATGGTTGAAGGTTGAATTTACCTGCGAGTGATGGAACTCATCTCTGACTGTGAGTGGCCTTTCAAGTCAAGGTTTCTTAAAACTTGTTTGGCAAGGTATACCGCTGTCCGCTATGGTTGCTGTCTTGCCGAGGAGCAAGATGGTGAAAACAAAACGAAAATTGAGTTCATTTAGAAAAGAAGAGAAAGAAATGATCTTGCTGGTGTAGGCCCTATTTGGATTCCTCCAGTTTTTAAGAATTTGATTTTTAAAAACTAGATGGGATCCAAACATCCAGTTTTTGTCCAGTTTCTTGTGTTAATTGTTGCCAGATTCTTAGAACACAAGAAAATATTGATACCCAACTTTTATTAGCTTCTTGTGACCATATGAGCGATAAATGAAGCCGATTCTTAAAAACTTAGGGATCCAAACACCATTGCCAATTTTTGTTCAGAATCCAAATTTTAGAAATTAGAGGCCGAGAACTGGTTTTTAGGAATTTGAAGAAACTCATCTAAACAGGTCCGTAATTGTGTCGAGACAAACCGGAGAGCTACGCTAAATAGGGCATTAAAGGCGTCTTATATCGGTAAACGTTACGTCGCACTCAATAGGGACGAAACTACTCGTACTCCAGCACGGTAAATGTGAATGGGTCCTGGCTGGTATAATCGCACCGATAGTTTTTCCTTTATTCAACGGGAATAACCAGTGGCAAGGTTTTTGCGAGGTGACAGAGGGAATTACTACGCCGCCAGTCCATGGTCCGACAGACACGTCGTTTTTTCGAGTCTTCGATGAATTTCCGGTCCACATAAAAAACCTACTCTTTTTTTTTACCAAAAACAGGAGATATTTTTCCGGTTGGCGGAAATCGACAGCGAGGAAGAAGACTCGGAGGCACCTCAGCGCCGTTCCATTTTTGCAACCGGTGGCGCTCCCTTTCGTTTCGTTGCGTTTTTATCGTGCCGTGGACCAGTGGGGGCAAATGCGATAAGCCTCGCTTTTCTACGCGGCGATACATGCATGCAGGTATACCAAGAAAACAACGAAAAAGAGAGATAAAAAAAGGAACACGGCAGGGAGAGAGGGGGTTGGATCGTCGGGGAAGCAAAGCACAGCTTGATTTGGAAGCGTTAAGCAATGTCAAGAGTAATTTATTTCCGCCCAGAAAAGGCAAGGCAGGGCGACGCCGTAAACGGAAATCGATCGATTCGATGGAGGAAAAAACCTTTGTCTGCCTGCCTGCCCCTGCCTTGCACGGCCGAAAAGTCCTGCACGTACGAACGCGCACGGTTTTTTCCACTCCTGGGCGGTAAGAAAGGAAGAGCGCGCCAACGCTGGCGGCAGGCATGAATGGGCGCCGGGGCGCATTAACGAGGACACCTTGCTCATGCACAACTTGCTGACGGTACCGCTCCTAGTTGTCTAAGCTGGTTGGCCCTGGAGCTTACACGGAGAAGATGATAATAATAAAGATGTATGTATTGTGAGCTTTATGCCTGCATGCAAATGACTCTGTCAGAGCAATGGCGGCAATGATATGTGGCCAGTGCTGCCTTTTTTTCCCTTCACTTCACGCCCTGGCTGTCATTAGCGCATAATGGTGGTGGTGAGGAAACACTACTACTAAAAGGCAGATCAGGTGAGGTCAGCAGAGGTCGCGTGCGGGCGCACCATCACGGCGAGGGAAGAGATAATATAGGGAGCAACCGAGGGAGATTAACAACCTCATCGCGAGGATTAGTTTAACCACGACCATCAAGAAGAAAGGAAGAAGGAAACGGAGGGCAATAATTGCTGTGTGAAAGGAACAGAAAGTGGCGTGGCGAGAGGGGGGTGGTGGGTGGTAGTGATACTGCTGGGCGCGGCACGGCAGGCTGACGTGGACGGGGCGGCCGCCCGGGAGAGAGGAGGCAGGCGCGGCGGTGTCGCGGCACGCGGGGCGCGGCCTGCTCCTGTTCCCGTCGCCGGGGGCGGGGCCTCCAAATCTCCAATAAACAAGTCCCCACTGCTCCACTTCTTCGGTAGCAAAGCGGGCGAGCCGGCGAGGCGAACAGTGGCAGCATCACGTCTCGGCATCTCCACCGGGCCCTCCCCTCCATGATTAGTTTAATACTCCAGCTAATTCATCCATCGGCCTCCTCACTTAATCGCGATTAATTTAAACTAGACAGCCCCCGTGGCCGTGCGTGGCGTCCGGCTGGCGCCAAGGCCTAGGCACGCACATGGCTGCAGCGAGCAGCGATAATCCTAGGACTAGACCAGGAGGACCGGGAGGGCTGTCTCCTGTGGCAGCCGCGGCCGCAGCTCCCCCGGCCGGCCTCGTCGCCCCGCCCGCCCTCATCATTATTACCGGCTCATTACATTAGGCTGGATTAGATTAAGATTAGCGACGATAATTTGCCCCCTCCACCACCACTACTGGCGTGGCGTGGCGTGGTGCCATTAAAAAAAAAAAGTTTCGTCTCCCGACGTGAAGACCTAACCTGGCCTGGCCTACCGCCACCACGGCCGGTGCGTGCTGGAGCTATTACTTTCCTGCTGCTGCGTCCAAGGAGTCCAGCGGATTAGCCTAGCCGATTAGTATAATAATTAACGGATTAATAATTAATTGATTACTCTGCCCGTTGGTTACTGGCCGTGCCTGCCCTTTTACTTTTGGCGCCTACTTTGACCACCTCCTCCCCTCACTCAAGTCGGCACGCCAGTAGAAGATGGATCGGATCGGATCCGATCGGGTCCAGTGGCACGGCCAGGTCGAGTTCATTGTTCACCTAGGTCGTCGTAGGCTGGCCAGCGATGAATTTACCGGAGAGAAAGAGAGAGCGAGAGTGAGTGCTTGAGCTATCTCTCCAGCTCGGCAGACAGTGCCACGTCGGAAAGGGACACGCACACCAAAGTCTCAGTTTTTTTTTAGCATGTAAATTTCAAGCTTGGACAAATCTGTATAGAAAATAGTAATATTAGTATTATATCAAATAAAAACATTAGGTTAATCATAAAATGTAAACCTATGGTAAATCTATTTATACTTTAGAGACATTTGATACATTTTCTATAAACTTCATTAAATTTTAAAAATTGGATTGGTTCAAAAGTAGAATGGTATGCATCGTTTTCCCCCTCCTCGGTTCCGTTTGAACACTTCGTTGCGCGCTGCATCCACGGCTAGCTAGAGCCTAGAGCTAGGCTAGCCTAGCTTCTTCTCCGTCTCGTCTGGAAGAAAGAAAGGAAAAAAAACTAGCTATGCTGGGAGCCAGCTGACGAGCTCCCTATGAACACATTCAACCTAGGCTTTTCAGAAACAACGAACGAATCTAGGCTTTTCAGATAATGGAAATAGGCGTTTCAGTTACAAGGACGAGGAGTATGATGACGGCAGCGATATATCACTTCACTTACATAATAGGCTCTTCAAAGAAACTAATTAGGCTTCTTGTGATCGCTATAACATATTGAAACCGGCAACTAAACCTATCTCTCAAGATATATATACGCAATGCTTTGGATGCATTTCTACTTACTTTTCAACTAGTATTTTCTTTTGTTGCAGTACCAATGTCTGGAGGGTCGTCCAGAGGGAGAGGAAAGGGGAAGGGAATTACCATTGTGTGGGAGGGTTCTCTTGGTCCCGATTTTTTGAGGAAGCTCTTTATAAGAGGTTCCCAGTTGAGAGCAAAAGTGATTTCACCAAAAAGGCACCACTGAGATGATACGATGAATGGAAAGAAGAGTGGCCAAAATGCATGTATGGTGAGGACTGCCTAGTGCAGATGTTCACCGAGAGAATAGATGAAGGTCGTTGCTTCTTCAAATGCCCATGAGCATGGGTGGGTAATTACTATTACTATTTGTTTCTTCAACATGTTCCTCTTCTATACAACTTACATGACATACTTATTGCAGTCTTCCTTGGTCGAAGAAAACTATGGGTTCACTAGGTGGGTCGATCCTCGACCTATTTATCCGTATGTGGAGTACATCTACTACCTGCAGGACCATATCTTCGATCTAGAAAGAGAAGTTAGCGTGCGGGTTAAAAGGATTTACGCACAGTGATTTACGACAACAACAATGGTGCCGAATCACAGGAGACACTCTGCAATGATCCATATTGCACTAGTCCTAATCAAAAGAACAAGGGGCATCCGCCGTCACCCCCGCCATCACCACCACCAACAATGGGAGGCTATTGTGGAGAAGGTGCAACATAATTTGCTATGTGGCCACACTACTAGGACGACCATATCTTATTCATATGTCACATCCATGTGT